GCTTGTTGTTTTGTGATTAAGTCGCAGTTTTGAAGCGGCATTTTAAAAAAATCCTACTAAAATTCAATATATATATGGTGGGTACTTCGGTATACTAATTTTTTTGTGTGAATTCAGTGCATCTAACTCTAAAAGTGGTTATGATACATGGAATTTTGAATTTTGATTGTTATCACTAGTCTAATATGTTGATATAACATAGAATCACAACTAATCAATCCATTATCCTGACCTCTTAACCTTCAATTTTGAATCTCAACCCAAAACCCCAAATTGTAAACCTAAAGCCTAACCCTAAACCCCCAAACTCTAAATCATTAAAACTAAAGTAAATCTTGAATGGTTTTGATATAAAATTATGTATTTTCTTGTCCATCATACTACAAGTGACGATTGAAATCATATTTACACAAATTGTCTGCTCAAAATTACGCTTATGACGCGAGTGCATTGAATGTACCAATAAAATGAGTACGCAAAGAGAAAACCATTTGTGTGTGTGATGGGTAATCTAGTTTCATTGAATTTTCTGCCTCAAGTTGTAGATGAAGGCATATTTTATTGGAAGATTCTAATCGTATTATGATGAACATAACTTATTAAAATAATAGAACGATAAGCTTTTACATCTCCCGATGTAGTTATTGGTATATATAGGAAAAGGAGTGTAGTTGGCAGTCAATGATTTGGATATGATCAAAGAGTTGCGTCTGTCTAATTCTTCCATTGATTGAGCATTTGGAATTGTCTTAAAGTGAATGACATTTTTATCAGAATCATCGGCCGGTTTTGAAGCACGTAGTAAAAAAAGACATGATTGGTTTCTTGTAAGTTGTCTCAGAGCGGACATCACTTCATGGGATTTACAAATTTTAGGCAGATGTTTTAGCTTGAAATTGCTTCTTTCTAAGGGTCGTTTGGAAGTTGCGATTGTTAAATAGATGTATTGTTGAGAATGCATGTATAATATTATACATGTATTGTCGAATTTGATGCATTGTAGAATACAACGTTTGGTATGTGTGATTGTATATGTCGCATCAGCTAAAAACTGAGACAAAACAATCTCAACTCAACTATCTCAACAATCACAACTAAAAGTTGAGATATAACAATCACTCAAAATGAGTGATAGTTTTTATCACATCACAGAAACAATCCATGTATTGTTTCTGTTAAAAAACAAAAAAAAACGATGCATTGTAAATAGAGGTGGCAAATGGATTGGATTGGTGGATTGGTGGATTGGATTGGTGGATCCATGGATCAAATGAATTGGATCAAATGGATTGGTGGATTCATGGATTGGATCAAGTGGATTGGTGGATTATCCATGAATCCAAATGACATCCTCAACCAAGGACCAATATGTAAAATGTAAAAAGTGTAGGTACTAAAATGTCACAATGAAAAATTTTAGGTACCAAAACGTAATTTTCCAATGATATTTTTCGTATAAAAAATAAAATTTTAGGTACCAAAATGTAAAAAATAAAAATTATAGGTACTAAACCGTAATTTGCCAATGATCCATGGATCCAATCCATGAATCCACCAATCCAATTGGATTTGGATCAAATGGATTGGATTTAAATGGATTGGATTAGGTGGATATTTTTAATGGATTGATGGATTGGATTGGTGGATTGGATTGAAATTGCCACCTCTAATTGTAAACAATACATGCATAATGACAATCTCAACAAAACTATCGCAACTTTCAAATGACCCTAAGTATAGTAATAGTTTTGACTTTGCAAGCTAAACCATTAGATTAAATTGGCTTGGTAACTTAAAAGAAGTCCAGCCGGAATAATTAACGGAAGCACGTTATTCTCCGGCTCTCCCGCGCAATAGTTAGATAGCTAGCTTCTAGAGACGCAAATATTCTAAAAGGAAAAAAAAAAAGGCATAAGCACTACTTGATCCATTGCCATAACTTAAGCAACTGCCAAATGGACGTCCCGTCTTATATTAATCAAGCCAATTTAATTATATAATACACAAAAATTAATCACACTACTTCAGTTAAATCCAAGATGAAGCCAGCTCCAATCCATGTCTCCGAACAAACATTATTAATTTCTTCAAGTTCGTAGAAAAGAAAGAACGTGTCAGCATATGAATCTTTGTCTTGCTCTTTGGCACTGCACAGCACATCTCCGTATATAATTCTGTTTCATCAAAGGTAATGCGAAATCAAATACCTAATAATTAACTCATTAGCGCGCTATTAATTATTGCCTTTGTCGTAAGCCGTAGAATGCCTGATCAGGTATACTGGAAAAAGCTGAGCTCCAAGCTGGTGCCCATTTTACAAGTTTTGTTGGATAATTGTTTATTGGATTTTGGCGCAGGATATTATACTCTAACTTTTGATAATTATATTCTAATCCTTAATAATTCAGCCCTAGATTTTAATTATTTACATTATAGACTCTAGATAGCAAGATGGTGCATATATAATTTGTTGGATGTATTTTGATGAATCATTATTGTCGATTATTATTTTTAATTAAATTGTAATTTTTAGAGGTTAATGTATAGTACTATATCCTAAAATCCGGTGAATTCAACATCTATATTATCATTTTTATGCTCAAAATATGACATACTTTTTATTTTACTGAACATGCCATTGGGCCATTCATATATATCTATATGTATGTCTAACAACCGGGTCAAACCAGTTCAATATCAACTGAGCCCATTCAATGATAAAATTATATTTAGGCCAGACTTTTGTTGTTTGTCAACTTCATTGCCTCCATCTAATAAGTTAATTTTGGCGGCTGTACATATGCCATCCTTAATTAAGTGGAGAAATTAATAGTTTGCATTAATTATTAAATTATAATTAGCTAGCTAGATAGACAATGCATGATTTCTTTAATTCAATTGAGGTTTGGTCTCATACTCTTGAAGCTTTTTGGTTAATATATCCCACCATTTGTTCAACTTACAACAATTTTGCATGATAGGAAAGTCAATATCATTAGCCACAGAAAATTGGCCTATTGCGTATGTGGTAAAAAAAAATATGTATCGTATAACGTTGAGATCGACAATCATATAAAACGAATGAAGAAGTTGATTAATTATATATTTAGTGTAGTGCTTTAGTTGCAAATTGGGATGTTGAAGTTTGTTTGACTTTCATATTTTGACAAGGATAGACATTAGCTAGTTTGGGGGAGATTCTAATTACATTCACTAGACATACAATTAACAAACCTCTTACAAAGCAAAACAAAAACAATCGTCCATATGTAGAAGTGAACAATCAAGTACTTGTATATGTCTGAACAATCAGCATTAGATGATACTCCAAGTATTTCTAGTGAGATGTTTTCATTTAGACCATGAATTAAATCGAGTTTTGAATATGATATTATACTCTAAAGAATAAATCATATGTTAATTCTCTAAACTTAAACCCGACATACAAAACAATAATCGACAACTATGATTCATCAAAATACTACGAGTAGATCCGACGATCAGATTACTTGAAATATGATATACTTCCAAAATACGTCAATCATTACTATATATATATAGAATGTATGCATTGTTTAGTATAAAAATCCGCCCTTAATTCACAGGAATTTGTCTGTGTCTGATTTAGTCATCATGTATGGATATATATTACACTAGCTAGTTAGCTGTCTATGTGGCGCCACACAATATGACAAAACGGTCTTTACAATCTGTAATTTAGTACCTTATAACATTAATTATACGACTACATATTGCTACGTTATATTAGCCTATTTTGAATCTTAGTTATTCTTACTCGTATGGAAACACTGGGAGCGTGGAAGAAATTAGCTAGTAATTAACACATTTATAGATCAGCTAATAATACATACTTCCTCATTAGTATAAAAACATTATTCTTCATAAATGTTATCTTTTTCCATTGCTCATCAGTCATATTTATTTTCGATACGCCTGGGATCAAAATACTATTTAAACTATGCATTTTATATTTGTATTTGTATATACTAATATACATCGATGTTGACTTTAATTTGTCCCATGCGATGAAAAATTCAAGATAATCAATTAAATATATGAAGGAAGGAAGTCAAATATTTTCCAACATATAATTAAGTGAATTGAATTTATGTCAAAGTGACAAAAGGAAGAACAGTGATGAGTGCACTTCCTTCCTCCAAATGTCCCAACTTAAACCATAGTACTAAGAAATCGATCATATAAGCCAGTTATTAGTTTAAACTAATTTAATGAGGTAGGCCATGCAGTCAACAGAATACATTTCTTCATATTCAGCCAAAACAATTGTTCTATATATATATATATAGTATTGACAGTTGAGTATTTTCGATTATTCAAATCATTCAAAATTCTCGTATATACCCATTCAACCGCGATTTTCATATATCATTCGACACAACCACTTTATTTACATTGTCGCGGATTAACATTTTTTTTGTAATTCACCGTGATAAATTTACAAATATAATCCGTCATTAAACACTGAAACCTCCCGATCCAATCATTTAATCACGTGCTTACACAGTTACACACCAATAACACAAACAGCATAGCCAAAACTGTAATGCTTGCTATCTAATTATTGTTACAAAGAACCGATGACAAGTAATTAATAATTACGCTGCTATCCAGATAGGAAGCTTCAATTAATTAATTAAACAACAGACTAGCGTTTGACTACAGTTGCTTCAAAATTCAGCTAGCTAATTATATAGTTGGGAGAAAATTAGAAGACTGAACTTGTCAACATAGAAAAATGAACAAAGGAAAAACAACCCAATCGAAAATTCTCTAATATATATGTGAAAATATCAAAATTCGGCAGGCCAATCTCTCCTCTATATTAATACCCCTCTCTCCCTCTTGACTTCAATCACCTAAAAAAAAAGTCACACACACAACACACACAAAAAAAAAAAAAAAACATGTTCTCGTCACATCCATCGTCGTCCGGCCACGACCATCAGCAATGGACGTGGATGAAGCGCCACCGCAGCACCCACTTCCTCTTCAACTCCTCCTCTTCGCCGCCGGCCGCCACGTGGGAAGAGAGAGCCTTCGCCGAGGACGCCGGAGGCTGCGTTTGGCCACCGAGGTCCTACTCGTGCAGCTTCTGCCGCCGCGAGTTCCGCTCCGCTCAGGCCCTCGGCGGACACATGAACGTCCACCGCCGCGACCGCGCCCGTCTCAAGCAACAACAGTCCTCCCACGAAGACGACGACGACGACGAACAACATCCTCCTGTCGCCGCCGGCCACATTGCAACTACTACTACGGCGACGAACTCCTCCCCTAGGGTTTCATCTTCTTCCACCACCACCACCACCACGGCGGAACATTCTTCGTCCGGTGCCGACGTTATGAACAAGAGGAAGACAGCTAGTGGCAATGATGACGATTGCTGTTGGCTGGATCTTGGGCTCATGGTTAGAATTGTGGAAAGTGGTCGTCATTTCTATAACGATTTGGAGGGTAAGGTTTTGGCCGGCGGGAGGAGGAGGAGGAAGACGGGGACCACCACCACTAGTACTCGTTATCCGCCGGCGGCGGCGGCGGTGACATTGTCGCTGTCCATGGGGGCGTCGGCGGCTGTGGGGATGGGGATTAGGGATTTGGATCTTGAGCTTAGGCTTTGAGGCAGGAAGGAAGATTATGAAATGTATCAGCCAATTTCATTACCCATATGAAATATTCGTTACCAGGAAAATTAATTAATATGAATTTACGTCAAGTATTCGTAGTAGTTTTATGTTCTTCTCTTATTCTCCCTCGTTTTCCCGTTGTCTTTATTCTGTTTCTAGTTTCTAGCTGGTTGTCACTGCAGGTTAATCAACGGATGTTTCTAACGTAATTATTAAATTAAGCTAGCTTAGCTTGTCCATATTATATCATATCATGACCGCTAACCCGGCTTTCTGGACTGTATCGACAAATTATCATTGATAAATAAATGAACTTTTATTGGAAATTGTTGGGTATTACCTATCAACTAGGGATCTTGGCCCCCAGGCAATGGAATTGGGGGGCAAGGCCCAAAAAGGGTTCTGGGAAATACCTCAAGGTCCAAACAAGAGGAAGGGCGCATAAGGACAAAACACTAAAGGCCAAAGGAGATCAGGCTGTCAGGTGGTCCATCACCTGCGGGCGCCTGTCACGCGTCAGAAGCCTGACAAGGTGGTTGAGATATCTGACAAAGAGAGTACAAAGCATTAAATTGGGACAGTGACATGGAGGAGATCAACCTCGAGTTCGGTGAGTATAAATAGGGGGCAGTTGGTAGCATTTACACAGGTTGGACTCTCTGACTATAATTCCTATTTCGGGACACTTCCCTCTCTAAGGAATTAACTTGGGCGTCGGAGGATTAACAGGCCCAGGCGCCCTCCTCTTTGTGTGTGCAGGCAGGCGCCAGACAAAGTGACGCTTCAGGTGTTCCGGCGGGTATTGTGGCACAAACAGAAATTAATCCTAAACGCTGAATTATATACGTCGAATATTCTGGGAAGAAAATAGGAGGGAAATAACATTAATTTCAAACCCAAAAAGGGAAGCCTGGTAAGGAAATGAACAGAAGAACCATGCAGAGCAAGCACTGCAAGTTCAGGGAACAAGGCCCTTAATTAATTACTGAAATTGGGTCTGGGTTTACAATTAACGTGAGAACCAAATTTAATAAGTTACCCCTCTTGTTTGGGGAAAGAAGGGAAATGACAATTTACCCAAAATTGCAAGGAAACCTTCATCCTTCTGCCTTCATATGTTTTATGGGTTAAAGACACTGTTGGGTCACACATTGATCCACACGGCCCATAAGCCCAAAAGGGCACTCAAAGCCCACACAAGAGCAAGCAAGGCCCAAAAGCGAAGGCGGTCCGACGACGCTAACACTGAAAGGACCGCCCGACACGTAATGACCCGACTCTGATGAACCGCCCGACACTCTGGATCCCACGAACGGACTCTGACAAGGCACACGGAGGAACCCAGAGGCGGTCTCGGGCCCCAACGCCAAGAAACAGCCCGACATTCTGGATCCTACGTACGGACTCTGACAAGGGGCGCGGAGAAATCCAGAGGCGTCCTGGAGCGTCTGACACAACATTAAATGCTCGGAGCCCGGTCGAGACTAGTATAAATACCCCTCATAGGATCACATTGATGGTAACTTCTACCAACTCCATTCTCTCTCTTATTTACTTTCTCCTCACTTCTCTCTCTAACTTAAGCATCGGAGGAGGTCCCAGGAACCCCCTGAGGACCTTTCTGCAGGGTTTCGAAGACCGCCCCCGACCATCGAAGCCGCCCAAGGCCAGTGGAGTCTCACAAACCGCTTGGTACATTCCAGGCACAAACATTTTGGCGCCCACCTTGGGGCCCTACTACTTTGTGGCGAACAAGATGGGAGACGATTTCGAAACCCCCCTCAAGGGGATGACCGAAAACAACACCTTTCGAGGCTTATCACCGAGGGTGGAAGATGAGCCCGAGTTGGAAGAGGTGGTCAAGAACCAAGGGATGCAAATTGCAAGCATGCAAGACAGCCTTTCCCAAATTCTTCAACTCCTGAAGACCCGAGACGACCCCGCCAAGGGCTCGAGGGGAAAGGCGCGCGACGAAAAGCTGAAGGGCGCTCTCGTCCTCGACAGCCCTGCTCGGACAGAAGGCGGAGGACTAGAGGCCGACGACCCGGACCTCAACTTTCTAGAGGAACACCTGCGGTCAACCTTTGGGAAGCACAAGAGCCCGAACGTTCTGCAGAACCCTCTATCGAGAGAGCTCTTCAAGACTCCGGTCCCCCCGAACTTCTCCTCTCTAGGACTTCCAACCTATGGGGGGACGTCAGATCCCGCCGACCATCTTTGCGCGTTCATGTTAAAAATGCAACTCATCAACGCGACAGACTCGGATCTGTGTCGTGCGTTCCCGGTTACCTTCAGCGGTCAATGCCGCACTTGGTACACCTCCCTTCCGGAGGGAATTATAGAAAACTTTGAGCAGTTTGCGATGCTCTTCTCCACCAAGTTCGCGTCTCAACGACGTCGCAAACTCACCGTCTCGGCACTCATAGGTTGCCGGCAAAGGAAGGAAGAGTCGCTTGCTGAGTTCTACGACCGATGGAATGCGATAGCTTGCGAAATAGACGGTATCTCCCCAGTCGTGGCCGCCGGAAACCTCCGAATCTCGACAACTAGTCTCGAGCTGAAAAGAACGTTGATAAAAAAGGAGGCGACCTTGGCAGCCTGGTCTGACTTAGACCAACTGGTACGACGAGCGATCTTGTTAGAAGAAGCGCTAGCCAACGACGACCGAGGCCCACTAAACCGCCCCAGAGGAGACGCCTCAGAGCGTGGAGAATCCCGGAGGGGAAGGCGGTCCCCGGACCGAAGGTCGTACCGGAGCCGGTACCCCGATCGAGAAGGAAGAAGAGATGTCCTCTCCACCGACAGAGAAAAGGGAAGGGACCGAAGGAAAGGCGGAAGGAAGCACGAGACATCTTCCACCCAAGAACCGCAAGAAGGAAAAAAGTGGTGCGACTGGCACCAAATCACGACCCACGACACCACGGAGTGTAGGGAGTTCAAGGCCACGCTCCGACATCTGGCCCCAGGAGACCTCAGAAGCAAGCTAGAAATGAGGCGGTCCCACAGAGAACACTCAATAGAAGAGCGGGAGGAGTCCCCCAGTCCCGAGCAGGACAAGACGAGACGCCCGAGAAAGGAAAGATCAAGGTCCCGCTCTCGAAACAAGGCCGCCTCCCCGAGGCAGTCTCCTCCCTACAGAGCTCCTCGAAATGAAGACGATGGGATGGAAGTCATAACGATTGCAGGAGGTCGGAAGCGCCCAAGAACCGAAGGAGACCGCATCGCTCAATGCCTTAACGTGCAACGGAGAGCACCGACCGAGGTCGCCTTCTTACCGTCCGAGTTGGCCAACGAAGAAAACTCGGAAGATCCCTTGGTCATTTCCTTTCGAACCGCCAAGTTCAAGGTCACTAGAGCCCTGGTTGATAATGGGAGCTCGGCGGACATACTATTTTACTCAGCACTCAAAGGAATGAAAAAGAGCGTCCAAGATCTCAACCCTTCCACCACCAGCTTGGTGGGGTTCTCCGGCACCAAAGTCCGTGTCCTCGGCTCAATCACGCTCAAAGTCACCATAGGAGAAGGAGGAATCACAAAGACCAGACCCGTGGAGTTTCACGTGGCGGATTGTCCTTCGGCATATAACGCCATTCTTGGACGCGGCTTCCTGGCTTCGTTCGAGGCGGTTGCGTCCACATGCCACCAGATGCTTAAATTCCCAAGCGGAGGACAAACCGGACGCGTTCGAGGTAACCTACAAGAGGCTAGAGAGTGCTACCAAGCCACCATCGAACACCTCGAAGTCGATCTGGTCGACACTAGAGGAGACGTCCCGAGACCGGAAGCGGTTGAAGGGGATGTGGCGGTCGCGCTGGACGCAGAGCGGCCAGAGAGGACAGTACGTATCTCCGCGCACCTCGCCCAAGAGGAAGCCCAGAAGCTCCTCGCACTCCTCAGAGAGTTCCAAGACCTCTTCGCGTGGGGGCCAGAGGACATGCCCGGAGTCCCCAGAAGAGTCTCCGAGCACCGCCTCTCAGTCAAAGCCAAAGCGCGACCCATACAACAGCGAAGGAGGCATCTGTCGGTCGAAAAGCAAATGGCACTAGAAGAGGAGGTGCGACGCCTCCTCAAAGCCGGGTTCATCAGAGAGGTCAAATACCCCACTTGGCTCTCAAATCCGGTCTTTGTACGCAAGGCTGGAGGCGCTTGGAGAATGTGCATCGATTTCACCAGCCTCAATGCGGCCTGCCCCAAGGACGCATATCCTCTTCCCCGCATTGACCAGCTCATAGACGGGACCGCCAATCATGAAGCCCTCAGCTTCCTGGATATGTTGTCCGGATACCACCAGATCCGAATGGCGGACGAGGATCAAGAGCTCACCGCTTTCATGACTCCCATGGGCAACTTCTGCTACGTAGTAATGCCCTTCGGACTGAAGAACGCGGGAGCGACCTATCAGCGGATGGTGGACGCGGTCTTTAAAGAGCAAATGGGGCGTAACGTGGAGGCCTACGTCGATGACGTGCTAGTCAAAAGTAAGAAGGCGGCCGACCACCTGACCGACCTAAGGGAAACTTTCAAAACACTGAGGAAAAAGAATCTAAGGCTCAACCCGCTCAAATGCGTCTTCGGTGCGGAAGCGGGAAAGTTCTTAGGGTTCATGATCACAAAACGAGGAATAGAAGCCAACCCAAAACAAATCGAGGCCATACGCGCTCTGAAGCCGCCAAAGACCATCAAAGAAATCCAAACTTTTAATGGAAAAATGGCCGCGCTCGGAAGATTCATCCCGCGGTCCGCCGACAAATGCTCTCCATTCTTCCAAATGCTGAAGAAATCGGCATCAAGGCTCCAATGGGGTTGCGAGTGCGACAAGGCCTTTCAGCTGTTGACAGACCAGCTCAGTCAACCGCCTGTTTTGAGCGCCCCCATAAGCGGAGAGCGACTCTACCTTTACCTGGCGGTCTCCGAGCAAGCTGTAAGTTCAGTCCTGGTGAGAAGAGCGCAAGACGGCTCCGACCGACCTGTCTACTACGTTAGCAAGGCGCTTC